GTGAATGCATACAAAAATAAAAATATATGTATGTATGTGTGGTTTTACCTCTATTTATATAATATCATTTCCTTCGAAAAAACGTATCACGTATTTTAATTTAAATACAATTTTAGAGAGAAAATATTATCAATTTTATTGTTTTTGAATATTATGTTAAGTATTTTGTTTAAAGATATGAAAAAAGCTTGTTAAATATAATACTTTGATTTGCAATGGGTTTTTAATATATTTGTTTCAAGTAATAACATATTCTATTTCAAAGTATATGGTTGAAGGTTTTTTAGAGCAAGTTGTAGTAAATATTTGATATTAATTATAATTTTCGGCAGAAAAATTTAGAATTTTTTATTTAATTGAGCTTAGTTAACTAAACTTAGTTAATTAAAATTATAATAGAGGGAATTTTTTTTTGTTTTTAATTTTTACGTTTTTGGATATTTTTATTCTTGAAAAGTAATGCAAATTTAAAAAAACTCCTAGAAAGATTTTTTGATTTTTTTTTGGGTTGTTACCATTTTTGGTTTGAAAAATATTCTTTTTAGTGTTTCTTAAACACAACTAACAAAACTAAGGCTTTAAGTAAAACACGTATTTTTTCACCTTAGATGATCCTGTAAGGAGTTATTAAATGGCCGAGTTTAAAATATTTTTTCCAAACGTTTCAGAATTTCTTTCTTAATAGCGTAAGAAAATTTTTTTTTGGAAAAATGATCTTTCTTTCCGGGGGAAATCTATGTAACCGCTTAATTCCTGCTAAATTTTCGCCAAAACGAATAATTGTGAAAATTTGCACTTTGTCTCTGCTAGTGAAAAAGTGGTGTGTGTCTTGGCTACAATTAAGTGACATAAATTGTCATGACATATTGAAGCAACAAGTTGTTAAATATTATTAAATTACTTATACTCCTTTTGCACCAGAACTGACGGGTCAAAATCAAATTTTTGTACGAAAAACTTTTGCATTTGACAAAATATACCCACGAAATTCTATATTTATTTTTGTGCAAGGCAGCGCTATAATGGACAAAAATATTTTTTGTATCGGACAATTGTAATATATAGCTGACGTTTAAACTAAACCATACAAGCCAAATATTTGTATGAAAAAGTTTTATATTTGACAAGATGTCTTTATGAAAATTGGCATAACTTATTACCGAAAGTATAGCTATAATATTCGAAAATATTATTCAGATTATACAACTGTATTATATATGTAGCTGCCATATAAAATAATTGGTCAAAAGCATGATCTTTTTGAAGAGTACTATAGCTTTGTTGTAGCTGAAGTTAACGTTTCTTCTATTAGTAGTAGATTTATGTATATGTACATACAGGTTTGTTCCTGAAGGTAATAGGACTAATTTTTTTCCGCTTCAACTGTCTAACATTTTCGTGCGACGTGTTTCTGTGAGTGGTGGAAGCCGAAAAAGTGCTCGCTGAGCAGCAGAAATTGTGGCAAGTGGAAGTGTGCCAAGGAAATATAAACATATGTAAAACAACTCCCAATTATTGAATAACGTAATCACAGGTAACGAGTCATGGATCTTTGAGTGTGATCCTGAGACAATGAGACAATCTTTCGAGTGGCACACGGCGGCGTCTCCTCGCCCAAAATAGGAAAGACAGTGCAAATCCAAAGTAAAAAGGAAGCTCATTGTCTTTTTTTGACATCAAAGTCATCGCAAATTTTACGTGGATCTCCTCAAGGGACTCAAACGAAGGGTCAATCGGGTCCGACAAGACATCGACAACGCCCCGGCTCACACCGCTTTTCTTGTGATTAGTTACCTAACCCTCTACAGGCCAGATATGGCTCCCCGGACTTTTTTGTTTCCTTGTTTGAAAAGGGGAATAGGTATAAAAAGGGATCCAAGCAGCATACACCTCGGCTCTTAAGGCTATTCCGGAGAATGCCTTCCATGACGCCTTAAATGCTTGGAAATCGCGTTGGCTATATTGAAAGTATTTAGAGATTCAGTCCTATTTCTTTTCGGACAAACCGTGTCTGTTGTTTTACATTTTAGGTGACCTATCAAACACTTTCGAAACCCACTGTTTTTAAATTCAATATCATTAAACCACTACTGCACCCAAACGCTACTTCCATTTAAATTAGTTGCCTATCGGTCCAAATAAATATTATATTTAATTTGCCGTCAACATTTGGTTTTATATCAGAATTTTTTTATTTTCTTTTTTCATTTCACTTTTTGTTTTTGTTACATTTTCATTTTGAGCCTCACAAAAGTGTTGCTTTTCTTAATGTTGTGTAAATTTACACCCATCAAAACAACAACAATAGGGATATTGTAACTTGCCGACCGCAATGTATACCGTAATGAACTTGGGTGGTTGCAACAGTCGGGCACTTCAACTGAAATTAGCAATTAAATTACTTTTCCACTTTTCTTCTTTGCCGCCACTTTCCACTACCCTTTTTCTTTAAGTGTGTACTTGGCTGCGTCTTACTTACTTTTTAATTTCAATTTCATTAATTTTTTTTTTTTTTTTGTCTTCTCATTTACTTTTCTTAGTGTTGTCTGAGCATATTGTTGCCGCGTGCCTTATTCATTGACACTTCCGGTTTTTTGTTTTTTTTGTTTTACCGCAAACTCACCTTTGCTGTGGTTATTCTATGTGTCTATGTGTGTATGTGTGTTTGAGTATGGCACGTAGCGTCTACAACCCTATTACCTGCCCTCTATCTTGTTCTTCCTGTTTCGCTGTCAGGTGTTAATACTTTACAATATTAAAGAGTTTCTGCTGTCTTTTTGTAGCCAATATCGTTTGGCTTCTATCGCTTTTTTTTTTTTTTTTTTTTTTTTTTTTTTTTTTTTTTTTTTTTTTTTTTTTTTTTTTTTTTTTTTTTTTTTTTTTTTTTTTTTTTTTTGTATGCTTTGCGCTCCTCTTACGCTTCCTTTTGCGTAAGAGAGCTGCTCTTCAATGGGTTTATTTACATTTTCCTTGCTTTTTAACTACATTTCCCAGGTCTTTTAATGATTTTAATTAGTCTAGTATAACTTTGTAAAAGCTGCTATGGTAAATTATACAAAGCAGATGCTTAATTACTAAGCGCGGCAAGCGGCGAAAATTGAAGTGTCTTTACAGCTATTTTTTCCAATTATCTCCTTTTTGCAATTTAAGATGAGTTCAAAGCGAGCTTTCTTGAAGTTTGTATAATGTTTCAGGTGTTGTGGAAGTAATTTGCAAAAAAGAAAATCAATAAGCGAGGCTAAAAGTTTTAAGGGGTTCATGGCATATATTGTTGTAGTCGGTCTTTATGTTGTTGTAGCGACAGACCGTTAATAAATTCAAATTTGGTAGAATGCTGCTGAGCTCGATATCGGTTTGTATGCTTGGATCTTGTGAGAATGGAGAATATCTATGGTGCTCCAAAGTTGTATTCTGATACCATCGTTACTGATAAATATATATTTATGGGTTTTACCCCTTTCTGTTTCACTAGATTAAACAGAAACGAGTGTTCTTATTTTTTTTTTTCAATTTTCTTAAGTTTTATAATGAAATTTCTGAAAGGGACTACTGATAGATTAGCTCACGCGCGGGGGCACCAAATGAAAACGAACATGATTTTTAGCCATGAATCCTATTCCTTGAATTCTATTTATTTATTTAATTTTTTTTTTTCATATTTTACAATTAAGTTTCCGAAAAGGCTTCCTGATAGATTAGGGTGGTATGGAGTGTCTGAAGAACGTGAGGGCACCAAATGAAAACATACATAGTTTTTACGCACACAGACTCGAAAGGACTGCACGACGGTTGTTACACTAATGACAAGTCACAACCTAATGACATCACTTACAAGCCGGATGAGCTTTAATAACAGCGCTACATGCTGAAAATGCACGGAAGTAAGCATAAGAGAGACGCCGCAGTGGAGGTCTGCTTCTGTGCAGTATTATCTAGAACTCGTCTTAGATATCTAGAAGCTTCGCAGTTCAAGGGATTAGATGAAAAAGCGAAACTAGTTATCAAGACTCTCTTAAACTTCACAAAAATCGTTGAGGGTGTTCATAGTTTTTTTACCAGTACAATTTCTTTTTTTAGCTCACAATTCGCACGCCAAAGCATGTCCAAAGAGACTTGTTTACGGTACTCTTTTTGAAAAAAAAAAGACGGAACGAGTCGAACAAGAACGTGTTTTATACTCAAAATAATTCGAACAAACTGGCGAGAGATTTATCTCTTGCCTCACGATTTTCAAGCACCATAACCTTCACTTTTTCAATATTTTCATCAGTTGAAGATGTGGAAGGTCGAACGAAGAACGAGGTATTTCTTCAACGATCTCTCCACCGTCTTTGAAGGCTTTGTACCACTCATAGACTTCTAGTTTTGATAATACTAAATCAATCAATACAAAATTTGAGTTTAATTCTTTCTTCGGTATTTTTATCCATTTCAAAAATCGCAACGCACTACTGAGGTGTACCGACTTAAGCAGCTGCTGTAAACAAACTTGTTTGACAGATCATGAATTTGGCATATTAATTAAGTACAGTGCTAACAACTTACTAAAATCGAAAATATATATCTAAGGATCCTGTAGTAAGTTCTTTTGATCAACATCATAACCTCATTAATACTAGATAATATGTGTATGTTGTCTAAGATGATCAAATATTGTTACAATCCATTAGAAAGGGATGTGTTTTGGGTATATTTCTTAGTCATTAGGATGAAGGAAATGACAGTTGTATTATGATTACTTCTAAAACGTGGCAGTTGGAGTACTTAGAGTAGAAGATTATAACATATGTAAATGTGGACTTTTATTTGATATTCAATCTTGATTGATCTCTACAATTGGGTTTCTCAAACAATTTTATTGAAAAATTATTAAAAATATATTCCTCATTACATCAAGGGATTATTTTGGTATGAAAACCTAGTCCAAAAACACAACCTTAAGCTCAAAAACTATCAAGTAAAATATGCTAACTTAAATTTACTTCAAATATAATTCTTACCTTGCATGTTGCGGCCCAACGAAGCCTGTATCATGCGCCGAACTGGCAGTGATTTGAGCATCTGTAATTGCACCAGACTCCATGCCCAGTGGTTGATGACATGTAGCTGCAAAGAAGCAAAAACATAATTACAAATTTAATTAATTAATTTTTAGTTAAATATGATTAAAGTGTGTAGAGATAGGAAAAACGAGTGCTCAAATATTATATAAAAAAAATACAAAATACTTTTTTTTTTGGGGTTTTTCTTTTTTTCTTTCAGAAGCCAGTTTTTCTTTAGTTCACAGTAAAAAATGTTTTTCCAAGAAAAAATAAAATAAACTTCAAAACAAAGCAAAACAAAAA